GCCTGTAATCCCAGCGCCAGGGAGGCTGAAAACCGGAGGATCACTACGAGGCTCAGCTGCATAGTGAGACTCTGTGCCGCATACATTTAAAGAAAAACACAAAAAGAAATTTAAAAGGAGAAAAAAAAAATTAAGCATCAACTGCTTCTTTCAATAAATCAGCAGTCATCCAAGCTATCCTGGATATATATAAATAGATATAAATATATCTGCTTCCCTTCCTTCTTACTTTTTTTGTCCTTTTCTTCACCCCAGTTGGCCCGCCCTTCCAAGAGGTCCCCTTTCACGGTATCTATTGTAGCTTTCAGATTGCAGTCACTGTTTCGGGTTCTTCTACTAGTGAGACACTATGATTTTCATACATGCAGGTCTGATTTATTTCACTTATGAGTGCCCTCTCTAGTTGCATCCATTTACCTACAGAAGCCTCGAGTTTACCTTTTTATAGCGGAGCAGTACTCCATTGCGTACACATGCACACCGTTTCAGCCACCCCTCAGATGGTGGGCACCTAGACTGTTTCCAGGTCCTGCTGTGACAAATTGTGCTGCCACGAACGCGGGCGCACGTGCATCGCTGTGCTGTCATGTCTTCAGTCCTGCTGGAGAACCGGGGGGCGCGGGGTGCGGGCCGCTGGGGCGAGCGGGCCTCCCGTCCTAGCCTGCGGGCGAGCTCCCCGCCGCCGCCACAGCGGCTGCAGCAGTCCACGCTCCCTCCCGCAGTGCGGAAGGTTCCTGTGCCCACACAGCCCCTCCGTGTAACTTGTGCCCGGCTCTGAGGTTTAGTCGCCTCCGCTGCCTCCTGGAGCAATGCAGAAGGGAGAATCGGGGGGCGCTCTGCAGATTCGGAGAAAGTCTTGCATTCCGTGCAGCAGGACCAGCGGACGCCCTCTCTGCGTCCACCTTGGGTGAGCTCCGGGACCAGCCTGCCCCGAGGGCAACCCGCGCCACCCACACAGCGCTCTTGAGCCGTCCTGGACGGCGCTTGCCAAGGACGCTGTCCTTCCTCTGTCTAAACACCAAACACCAGCCTCGAGCTCCTTTCCCAACGAAGTGTCTCAGGACCCCAAGAAACCACGCCACCGTAGAAAGGACTGGCTGTCGCTCCCCCGTTGGAATTGGCCCTGTGTGTTTTCATGTTTCAAAAGGAAACTAGGTCTGCACTAACTCATCACTCTGTCTAGATAAGAATGAAGGGGCAGCGGTCCCCCTCACAACGCCACCTGCACAGGAAGAGAATTACTGGACCAAATTAAGGCGTCCAGAGCCAGCAGTGCAATCACACTTTTTAAAGAGAAGCAGTTTGGCTTGGAAAGTTGTGGTGTTTATTTTTTAGATTTTTTAACTTCAGAAAGTCCTCATGCGTTTATGGCTTCTAAATCCTCGATTACAGTACTTTGGCTGTGCAGGGCCCCCTCCTCTGAATGAGCGTTGTGCAATCTGCTAGATTTCTCTATGACTTTTCATACTTGTGAATCTGTTTGGAAGAAAAGGAAAAAAGCCTTCTGCTTTTCATAATGTCTAATCTTTTTCCCCATTGGCATTCACCAGATGTTTCTTTGGATCAGAAGATAAATATTAAAATCTAAGCAAGAACAAAGTGAGCTGATTATTGGGCAGATTCTTCAGATGTTCTGTTGAACACTTGAAAAAGACAGGAGATGCTTTGATATGCGGGCTGGCTGGAGCCCACACGAGGCCTCTCCGACCCCGGCGTGGCCGCACCTCCCAGCCACGACCACGCAGCCTGTGCCCCGTGGGCCGCTGGCTGTGGCCTTGGTGGGGAAGTCAGGGGCAAGGACAGAAAAGAGCATACCTGAGGAAGAGGCCTGAGAAGGAGGGAGAGCCCGGCTCTGCCCCCTGGTCTGGCGTAGAGACACCCCGGGCGCGGTCATCACAGATGTAAAGGTAAGGCCACGACGCGGCCAGTGTCTGCGTCCCCAGGGTGATGGTCAAATCACACTGCACGTAGGTGGAGGCGGAGGCTTCGCAGCTGTCCCCTTCCGGCCTCAGACCACAAAGGAAAGCCAAGGACACTGTGGAAAAGAGGCGCCATGAGCTGAGGTACAGCCGCAGCAAGCACTGAAGGCCCCGCGTGGTTCGGGAGCGAAGGCCGAGCTGCCCTCCTGTGGCCCATGAGAAAGGAGAGTTCACAGTTGACATGTAGATATCAGAAAAATGGAAATAAAATTTCATAAAATATAGACCATGAACATAAGAGGCGCAGGCGCACCTGTGCCAGCCAAAGTGGGGTTGAACCCAGAGACGGCATGCTTTTTCAGTTTTCAGTTTTTTCTGATACTTGTGGTCACCGGTGATGAGAGCGTAAGGAGCTGGCACCCGGCCGGCACACCCCAACTCTCGCGGCACGCCCTTGCCCTTCCCTGCCCTCCTCCCTCCACGCCCATCCATCCGCAAAGGATCTGTCTCCTACTTCCTGTCGTCCACCTCTGTGCTGCTGTTTATGTATAGCTCCCGCCTTGCCTGTAAGGAACGCCATGCAACTCTTAGGCCATGTGTCTTTTTATTTCTCCTGCAACTGTGATCCAAGGTACATCCATCTTCCCACAAAAGAGTCAAGTGTCGGCTTTATTACACTTCTAAATCTACTTCCCATGGGCTAGGGATACAGCTCAGTGGTACAGTGCTTGCCTGGCAAGCACAAGGCTCTGAGTTCAATTCCTAGTGCTCACAACCACCCCCCAAAAAACAATAAATCTGCTTCTTCTGCCCTATGTCCACTCTCTTTCATCTCTTCAGAAGTAGCCATGTGGCACTTTAAAAGCAGGTTCAATGACTTAGCAAGAGGTCACCGAGGGGATTTTACTTCTTTAAAATATAATATATGACAGTGACCTCATGGGTCTGCTTCTGTCCTTCAGTGTCATGCCTCCAAGGCTGCCCCGTCACTGGGTGACCACGCACAGGCGCGGAAGCATCGCAGTGCGTCTGTGCTTTCACCCACGGAGTTCTGCTACTGTATTTGCTACTATAAAAACATGCACATCTTTCTCTAGAGTTAAAGTGACCTCGACGGAAAGGGGCAGTTAACACTAACTTTTTTGTCTTCATTTTCTCATTTTTTTTTCTCTTTCTCTCTTCTTAATTTCTTATAACTTTTTCTTTCTTTTTCCAATTTTGCATGCATACATCTGGGAATCTGAACAACTTAGTTGAAGACAACACCACGCAACACAACAAATACTGTCGACTTCACATTAGTTTGTTCAGTGAAATTCTGTACCATTTCTAATATTTGTTACTATTTTGTGTTCTCTTTAAAATTTAATTAGCTAGTTAAATAGCCTACGACGTAAATGGCCTGTTTTTAGCTCCCGGACACACAGGGATGGGTGAGCACTTTCTGCGCAGAGCCCCAGCTGTGCAGAAATCAGAGAATCGGGCTGCGGAGTTCAGCCGGCCGAGCCGGCGGGGTGCAGGGCCTGGAGGGGCCTGCGGGGATGCGGGCGCTGCCCGCTGGGGCCGGCCGGCCAGC